GCATGCCACAGTCCAGGTGTTAGTCCCCTTGAAACAACTTTTCCATCCCTATTGTGGCCAGAAAGAGTCCCTGTGTGTTTTAAAATTCGCCTCCCCATTGAAGTCAATGGCGTTTCGGGCGGTTCGCCGGTTCGCGAACATTTGCGGAAGTTCGCGTTCGCCGTTCGCGAACCGAAAATTTCGGGTTCGCGACATCACTATTGTTCACATGTATGTAGTAGAAGGCCTTCGAGCATTGTAGTGTTCTGTAGTATTTGCGGTCTATGAGCTCTGTGAGTTGTCTGCGTGCAGATAAGAGTTCTCGGTATTGGGCTTCTAGTTGGCTTCGTTTATGTAGAGTCTCCAGGTGTGCTATTTGGGTTGTTAGATCTTCGATTGCTTTCAGGTTATCTCGTTTCTTTCGTGATGCTAGTCGTATAAAATGTCCTCTAAGGACGCTTTTATGTGCCTCCCAGAGTGTTGTCTGTGAGATGTCGGCCGTTGCGTTCTCTTCGAAGTATTGGTTCAAATGTTCGGTCAATTTTGATTGTATTGCTACGTCTAAAAGAAGTGATTCATTTATTCTCCAGGATGTTCTAGTGGGCTTGAAGATGGGAGAGTCTAGGTGTATAGAGGTTTCGCTATGGTCCGCCCACGGGGTCGGTTTAATGTCGGCCCCTTGTAGATGTGTGAGTCCTTCTTGTTGGATGAAAATGTAGTCAATGCGCGAGTATCGTTTGTGTAGGGTCGAGTAGTGTGTGTAGTCTCGGCTGTCCGGGTGTAGTGCTCGCCAAGTATCCACCAATCTCAGGTCGTGTAGTGTTCTGCGGAGCCTTCTGATCGCCACTTGCGCTAGCGTGCTGTGTCCAGTATAAGTGTCTGCTATAGGGTCTAGAGGTAGGTTGAGGTCGCCACCGAGGATAAGGATGCCCTCTGTAAAAGTTGCTAGTTTCAGGAGCATTTTGCGCAGGAACTTAACCTGGTTTACGTTTGGGGCGTAAACTGAGGTGAACGTATAGGTTCTCTGGGCGATTGTTCCTTTCACGAATACGTATCTCCCCTCTGTGTCTTTGAGCGTTTCAGAGTGAGTGAATTGTAGGGTGGTGCTTAGGAGAATCGAGACTCCAGCTTTTCGTGTGGTTTGGTGGCTGCTGTGGTAGGTGGTATTATAGTGTTTGTTTTGTATTCTTTGGGTGTCCACTTCTCTGAGATGCGTTTCTTGTAGGAGGGCAATCGATACTCGGCGGCGTTTTAAGTCTTGTAGAAGGTGGGACCTTTTTTCGGGGCGTTCAGGCCTCTGCAATTTTTTGAGATTATATGGAATGGTGCGGGTGTATATGCCATGGTGCGTGAGTTTGTTGTAGTATTCTGTAGGGGTGGTGAATGGTGGCCCAGGAATGGGTTAAGGGCAGGGATGGGTAGGCGGTTGGGGTTATAGAGTTAGGTGGGGTTGTAGAGAGGGTCACCTTGGGGCCCGCGCGGTCGCGCCCCGCGCCCGCTGTCCCCATTCCCAGTGGCCTGGGGGTCTCTCGTGAGTCGTGTAATTAGTCGGTGCCTTTTATGAGCTTATGTGTTTTAGTCTATATTGTTTCTCGGGTGTTTGGAATGTCAGTCCTTGTAGGGATAGGTACCCGTGTAACCCGAGTTGGATGGCAATGCCAAACCGCCGCTTAGCGTGAGCTAGGGCAGCAAGGCAGTGGTCCTCTCGGTAGTCTGTGTTTACACAGGCGGAGGTCGGGGTTGTGGTGTCCCATTTATATCATATACCACCAGGGTAGCGGTGGTGTGTTCGGGTGGTGTAGTCGGTCCGAGTGTGCCTACCTCGCAGGTCTCCCGTCTCATTGGTGATTGATTGCGTTTTGGGTGCTGAGGCTTACTGTGGCAGTCGTGAGGGTTTGATATGGGCATCGGTGGGGTATCCGTGTGACGTTATCCCAGTGTAGCTGCTGGGTAGGGCCTCCCGGTCTTAGTGGAAGTGTAAGGGTGGGCCTACTTAAGCGTGTTGTATGTGTCTCCTAGCACGTGCGGTCTGCTCGTCAGTCATGCCCGGTTGAGTAGGTAATGTAGTTCCCGCGGTGATAGCGTCCCATTCCGCGGGGCGCACCCTCTCCGTATGTCGTAATGGGTCTCGCAATCGCAGCATCTCCCATTGTGTGAGCCACACCGTCCCCTCCCATGCGTTGCGGTCCCCGTCTCAGCTAATCCCTAGCTCCTTCTGGTTACCCCTCCTTTTTTCCCCTAGTCCGTACCGTCTCAGGGTGCTTCAGGTGTGGTCATAGTCGGACCCCAGGATTTTCTCGGTATATAGTGTCGTTACTGTTAGTCTCATGGGGTGGGGGTCCGAAAGTTTGCCTCGTCATACAAGAACGACCTCCTGTGGGGGAGGGGCGTGAGGTGTCGACTCCGGGTATTGCCTGTATGTTCGACTTGGGGGGGTCAGATCTTGGTGTACGCTTGGGGGCTCTATCACCAATAAGTCCCTACCTATCGCACCCCAGGGGCTCATTGCAGCGTGCCTATCCCTCTCAGAGTTGTTGGCTAAATTTTGTTTGCCTGTCAAGTCGGCAGTGTCCCTTTATTGATATACTAGGGGTTCTGGTCAGCCTAACAGTGGCCTGTCGCTTCTATCTTAGTGTCTTGGGGTACAGCCATGGAGGTGCAACTATGGAGGTGCCTTTGTGCATTCCCTTAGTGTGCTAGAGCAAACCATAAAAACTTCAAACTGTGGAATATTAGGTTATGAAAACTGTTAGCTCTGAATGGCACAGGCTACTGTTTAGTCTTTAGCCCAGTGTTCTCCATTGTGAGCAGAGTCTGAGTCTTACGCTTGTCCCCCCCACCAATAGTCCCCCCACCCCATATGTAGCCTGGTTCTTTTAAGATCGAGAAGCTTGAGTCATTGTTTTTAACCCCTATCGTTATGCCCCTTGCTCAGTACATGCAGTGTGGGTCGTGTATTGTGTATCACTTATCTGGGTTCTCGACGGCGGGTACCATTGTCCGGTGTCCAGATGTTTCTCGGGCATGCGGGGTTTTCTGCTGGATCTCCAGGTGGGGGTGGTGGTTGTATCGGGGGGGGGAGTTCGTCACTATTGCTATTCCTCGGGTGCTGCTGGATCCAGGCGTCTGCGGGCACTGGGGCGTCTTGGTGGGTCCTCCCCACGGCGTCGCTGCTGTCGAGGCGTGTAGGGTCCAGGTCTCTGCTCCAGGGGTCCGAGTATCCAGTCCGCTATTTCAGTGGGCGGTAGGCCCATACGGCGTAGGAATTCTGGGCCCTCTTCCGGCCAGCGTAGGGGTACCCATTCGTTTTGACATCTGGCAAGCAGGGCAAAGGGGAAACCCTATTTGTATGGGATGTTTCTCTCTCTGAGTAGCGATGTGATGGGACGCAGGGCCCTGCGGGCGTCGAGTGTGAGCGGTGATAGGTCTTGGTACAGGGCCACGTCTGCACCGCGGAACCTCCACAGTGGTCTGGAGCGAGCTTATTTTTTCTTTATGCTTGTAGTTATGTAGGCAGCAGATGACGTCTCGTGGTGTGTTATCTGCTGGCCTGGGTCTATTAGCTCTGTGTGCCCGGTCAAATGCCATGTTATCCGGCATGTCAGCTCCCAGAATCTCACGGAATAGGGCTCTTAGCGTGACCTCCACATCTTCCTCAGTGGCTGGCTCAGGTATTCCGCGCACGCGGATGTTGGAGCGTCGGCCCCTGTTGTCCAGGTCCTCTGTCTGGCGTCCGAGGGCCAGTAGCATTTGCCCTTGTCTTGTGGCTGCAGTGGTGTTGGTCCCTGCTCTCTCCGTCACCCCTCTCACTGCTTCTTCCAGGGTTTGGAGTCTGCCTTCCTGTGCTGTGACCTCTGACCGCAGGGCCGCCACCTCAAAGCGGATTGCGGCATGGAGGTTGTCTGAGAGGGCTTGGAGGTCATTTTTTGTGACCATCTGGGCTGCTAGCGCCCTGATGTCAGCGCTGATGTCGGCCAGGGTGGGTGTATCGGGCTCTGGGGGCTGTGCACGTGGCGGGGAGCCGGTCTCTGCCGGGCCTACCTGCTCATGTGGCGCGGCTGCCGGCGTGTGTAGGTACCCGTCCATGGGGCCCGCCGGGTGGTTTGTGGGGACAGCCCTCGGTGTCTGGGAGCCCTCAGGGAGTTTTGTTCTGCCCATAGTGCGCCCTCGCTCTTGTCTGAGCACGCTTATTAATGCTGGGTGAGACGGAGCTCCGGGATCAGGCTGCCATGTTGCTCGGCGGTCAGGCCACGCCCCCTTATGATGATTTATTGCACACAGTCCCAAATATTCATTTTATAGAAGGTTTACACATAGCATTTATTGATGATAATTTGTTCCCCCAAACAAGGTACATTTAACTATAGTTGATGATTTAATGGAGGCTGTTAGTGAGAGAAGTAAGTGCATCACAGAAATCTGAGTATCATGTATCTGGTACAGACTGTGTTCTGTCAAGGTAAAAAAAAGTCATGCTATAGCTTTAAACACTAAACATCAGGTACTTTTTA